CGAACAGGAAGACTTTCCCCAGTACATATCTGTAGCAACGAACAGGAAGACTTTCCCCAGAATATATCTCTAGCAACGAACAGGAAGACTTTCCCCAGAACATATCTGTAGCAACGAACAGGAAGACTTTCCCCACTACATATCTGTTGCCATGAACAGGAAGACTTTCCCCACTACATATCTGTTGCCATGAACAGGAAGACTTTCCCCAGGACATATCTGTAGCAACGAACAGGAAGGATTTCCCCATAACATATCTGTAGCAACGAACAGGAAGACTTTCCCCAGTACATATCTCTAGCAACGAACAGGAGGACTTTCCCCTGAACATATCTGTAACAACGAACAGGAAGACTTTCCCCTGAACATATCTGTAGCAACGAACAGGAAGACTTTCCCCATTACATATCTGTAGCAACGAACAGGAAGACTTTCCCCAGTGCATATCTGTAGCAACGAACAGGAAGACTTTCCCCTGAACATATCTGTAGCAACGAAGAGGAAGACTTTCCCTATAACATATCTGTAGCAACGAACAGGAAGACTTTCCCCAGTACATATCTGTAGCAACGAACAGGAAGACTTTCCCCAGAATATATCTCTAGCAACGAACAGGAAGACTTTCCCCAGAACATATCTGTAGCAACGAACAGGAAGACTTTCCCCACTACATATCTGTTGCCATGAACAGGAAGACTTTCCCCACTACATATCTGTTGCCATGAACAGGAAGACTTTCCCCAGGACATATCTGTAGCAACGAACAGGAAGGATTTCCCCATAACATATCTGTAGCAACGAACAGGAAGACTTTCCCCAGTACATATCTCTAGCAACGAACAGGAAGACTTTCCCCTGAACATATCTGTAGCAACGATCAGGAAGACTTTCCCCAGTACATATCTGTAGCAACGAACAGGAAGACTTTCCCCTGAACATATCTGTAGCAACGAACAGGAAGACTTTCCCCACTACATATCAGTTGCCATGAACTGGAAGACTTTCCCAGTACACATGTGTAGGAAAGAACTGGAAGACTTTCCCCAGAACATATCTATAGGAACGAACAGGAAAATTTTCCCCACTACATATCTGTTGCCATGAACTGGAAGACTTTCCCCAAAACATATCTGTAGCAACGAACAGGAAGACTTTCCCCAGAACATATCTGTAGCAACTAACAGGAAGACTTTCCCCAGTACATATCTGTTGCCATGAACTGGAAGACTTTCCCCAGGACATATCTGTAGCGATGAACAGGAGGACTCTCCCCAGTACACATGTGTAGCAATGAACAGGAAGACTTTCCCCAAAACATATCTGTAGCAATGAACAGGAAGACTTTCCCCAGTACATATCTGTAGCAATGAACAGGAAGACTTTCTCCAGTACATATCTGTAGCAACGAACAGGAAGACTTTCCCCACTACATATCTGTTGCCATGACTGGAAGGCTTTCCCCAGTACACATGTGTCTCAACGAACAGGAAAACTTTCCCCAGTACATATCTGTAGCAACGAACAGGAAGACTTTCCCCACTACATATCTGTAGCAATGAACAGGAAGACTTTCCCCAGTACACATATGTAGCAACGAACAGGAAGACTTTCCCCACTACATATCTGTTGCCATGAACTGGAAGACTTTCCCAGTACACATGTGTAGCAATGAACTGGAAGACTTTCCCCAGAACATATCTATAGCAACGAACAGGAAAATTTTCCCCACTACATATCTGTTGCCATGAACTGGAAGACTGTCCCCAGTACATTTTCATTGCCATGAACTGGAAGGCTGTCCTCAGTACACATGTGTGGTAACGAAGAGGACAACATTCCCAAGTGCATATCTGTAGCAACGAACAGGAAGACTTTCCCCAGTACATATCTGTTGCCATGAACAGGAAGACTTTCCCCACTACATATCTGTAGCCATGAACTGGAAGGCTTTCCCCAGTAAACACGTGTTACAATTTGCTGCACAAGTGGAAGTTCCGAGTTCGTTGTAAGGTGGTTCGTCTCCCGAACACGTAAAGATGCACAAGAACCCATAATCGCTTTGCCTAAATCCATACATAAATAGATTTAGAAAAGGTTTAGAAAACAACAGCACGAATCAATTTGCGTAAGTCGTATTGCAATGCAATCCTCAATTTATAGTAGGATCAAAAGTTACTTCTGATAGTTTCTTGGAGTTCATTTATGTATAACATGAAACACATAAGAGAGAATAACAAATATCTTATTCCAATGCTCCCTGAAAACGGTGATAGAGATGCTTTATCTTATTTAACAGCTGAAGAGTTATTACGTTTCGGGTTACTGAAAGTGTGACATTTTAGTGAAAAACAAGTTACGGAAATAGCGTGTAGTTTATGTCGTTTGAATTCCTGTTTTATTTCAAATGTTAAGGGAATATATTGTTATAAGAGGGATTTGCGATGTAGACGTAAAGGCTACAAGAGTTACTTTTGCATTTTGATATGGAACTTTTGGACATTATACATGAAGAATAGTAAAAGTTATATTGATAACGCAACGAGAAGTGTCGTTCATAATTAAAAGCAATTGAGAACAATAAATCCATTTCCATGTTAATGCAAAATAATATGTCTGATAAGCATATGTTTATGAATCACAGTAATAATGATGAACAGGGGCGTGGATCCTGCTCCGTTGGTAATATTGTCACAAACACATGCAAAGGCAAGTCATTTAGTTAAGTTTAATATCCACACGAACACGGTAGACGTTAAGATGAGGAATTGAATATGACAACATTTTGTCACTTATGCGTTACAATTGGAACTATTTTCCACATGTGAAACATATATCTTTTTTAAAACTATACTCAAGCTTTCTATATCATCAGTCCACACAACCGCCTGGCAACACACGCTTTATTAAATAATTAGTGAAGCATAAAATCATGAAGCAATGCAGACAGTATTTAAGAAAGGAACGTTCTTCATTAAATCGACAATAAATCATTTATGGTGTTTTGGATCATGAAGAAACCTTGCATCGTTAATACAAAAATTGTGATTAATGACTATAGCCATCATTAACAACGACCCCTCAATGTATTTCATGTGCAGAGGCGTCTTAAAGTGTTTGTCTTAAATAAAAGTGTTTGTGATAAATAAAATGCTCATAAAATGTTGGCCTGTGGTGATGTTACCGCTTCAGTTTGTACAGTTGTACCATGCCTCTCCGTGTTTATTGACCAAGCTCTGTACTTGACTTCTTCGTTACCTTACCTCATAGAGTGTTCCTGTTTGAGAATCACGTACATATGTTTGCTTGCAGCTTTGGACTTGCAGGTTCGACTATACGTTTTCGTAAGTTTTATTATAGCTGGCTGCAGGTGTGTAACTGCAAGACGCGGAGGATTTGAAGCTTCCGTCTGCCACCTTCCTTCGTCTTAGCCACTGTGTAGACCCGACAACTGTCAGAAAATCCGATTTTCTGCTTCCAATTTTGTTTAATTCATTCAAGACATTAAATCGTGACATTCCTGAACGCACTGACTTGTATAAACTAGACACTTTTATTGATGTTTATGAAAATGAAAAATACATGATTGCTTTTGTCAAGTTATTCCACAATATCTCGGTCCACCTTTTCGCTTCAGGTATGGAATAAATACTTATTCTTGCCATGAAAATATTAAACACTACCATGAGCAGGTGTTCACCCATTATTGGCCTTTAAGGCCTATGAAATGTCTATTTGGGGAATATGGAGACTGGAAGTTCTCCAACCTTGACGCTTTAAACTGTAAGAATAACAATTAAAACATAACATAAACCATTACTGGCTTCTCGCTATTGTGTTTGTGCATAACATCGTTCTTGGAATATGCAATTACTCAATGAGTATTAGCAGAGACGCCAATCAAGAAAGGTTGTTTTATCAATGGAGCAAGAGCGTGGTTACACAATATTTACATTACAGAGGCTGATTTCGCATACCTTTCCAACAATAACTCATCGTACTGTAATTGAAAAAGTTAAGAAGATTAAACCATGTTGCCTTGCAGCGAGCTCGAATGATCAGAAGTGCACATCCCTAATCACCTAAGTCACTAAATCAGACGAAGGACATCATTATCGGCGTCGAGGTGAGCCTGTCTTGACAATCTAATCCAAACCCTTTACTGATCCTTACAAACACATGTACTTTGGAGAAATAAGTTAGGTTAGGTTAGGTTGACCTAGACTGTCTGACAGTTTCGCTGTGTTGGTATTAGTGCAGGTGTTGATACCTCCCCAATAACCGATGTCAACTCTTGTCTGGTACAGGCCATATCCTACTGTCTCCTCGTGGACCTGGCCACCTGATTTAAAGAGCGTCCAATCACTGGTGCCGTTTGTTACAAGAATGGCGTCTTGTGTCATGTCTTTCTTGGTTGGCAAAGGAAAGTTTGTAGGAACTTTTTGGCTAGGAGTAAATAGTGATGGAAACATTTGCTTTGTTGTATATACAGGAGATGAGAACGCCGAGGAAATTCTATGAGGTGTTAACGGCAAAATAGTGTTACAAATAGAAATGATCAATAATAACCCGCAAGTTAGTGAATGAGTGACTTTCATTTTACGCCGCTTTTAGCAATATTCCAGCAGTATCACGGCGGGAGACACTGGGAATGGGCTCCACACATTGTACACACGTGGGGAATCGAACCCGGGTTCGTGACGAGCGAACGCTTTGACCACTACCCTACCCCACCGCCCCGACAAGCAAATGAAGTATACACTATGCCTGAGGGGCAAGTAATTGATAACAGTCTGAACTCTGAGACGGTCACAGAATATATATGTATGTGTGTGTGTGTATATATATATAAATACATACACACACACACACACACACACACACACACACACACACACACACACACACACACACACACACATATTCTGTATTCCTCCAAAGGAGAGTTACAAGAGTTATATATGGTTTAAACATATTTTTATTCAAATTAAATTGAATAGGGATCGGTGAACAAGCTGTAAGCTTATATGAACACCTCTCCCTTACAAAGACAAATAATAATTACATAGTTTGGCTGTTAGTCATGTATACGCTGTACATAGTTACAGAGTTATATATCATAACAACTTTACACAGAATGCAAAATTATGATTACTTGTAGTTTTAGAAACGGGGATTATAATAGTCCTTTTCGAGATCAGGCACCCTTTTAAATTGATGTAAGCCTTTTATTACTACTTCAGAAACTGTGTGGGTTAACCAACCAATGCCCGACTTGTTGATACATACAAACTTTATCGCCATCTATAATCTCACACATGAATCGTTGCATATGTGGCATGGAAATTGACGGTCACATTCCGATTGTTTCAACTGTAGAGTCGAACTTGTTTGGAACATCGTAGTCATTTCTTGATTGGTACAACTGTTGTTTGGAACTTGGGAGTCATTGTCGTTCCACTGTGCATTTTCCATTTACAGAATCTGAAAGAAGATGTCAATTTGTAGGATGGATTGGTATCTCCTCCATGGTACAGTGGATAGAGCGTCTCCATGACAGGTCTGGGTTCCATCTCCGCCCTCGGCATACTGGCAGATTTCGACAGATTGCAATGAGTTTGAATGGAAAAAAGAAATCACTGGCTCTCCGTTTCTACCCCGATATACCAAAACCAAACACTCTGGCACGCACGCACGCACGCACGCACGCACGCACGCACGCACACACGCACGCACGCACACACACACACATTTTTTATAAAAAAATACACACACACAGACACACACACACACACACACACTATGCTAAACATAAAAAAGTTTAGACTCACGAGTGGAAATGTAGCCACTTACTTCATTCAACTGTTCTAAACTAGATTTTGCAAAATATTCCAAAGGTACTGTTTACACATGAATTGATGTATTGTAAAACGAATTTGTAACGTTGAAAGACTTAATGCCATGAGTTCAATAAATGATGAAAATCAGTGAAAATTGGCAATATCGTAGCAAAACTTTACACCAAAACGCAGCTGTTCACATGCACGATATTTGCACATGCATCTTAGCAATTGGATGCATGATCCTCGTGCAATTCATCTGCATAAAGTTTGCAGCTGGTTCCCCCAAGTTAGTGGAGAAATTCATTTTCGATGTAACCATATATATAACCATATAGTGAGTGCTATAAGTGATGCCAAACTGTTGATGATGAGTGTAAAAAATGAAATGAAATGAGAAAAACGAAAGAAACCCTGAATGCATGATGTACGTGCATAACAAACATTACCTAGGGTATCTCCACCAGCCCTTGATTTTCGTACACCGATTCCTTTCCAACCGTACCAACCGTCTCCTCAGATTCTAATACAAAAATAGTAAATATTAGGTTTGTAACAAAATGGTTCAACATTCGAAACTTTGCCAATCATTGATTATGAGACGCGGACGCTTGGCGATATTTAACTTCAGGTTAATTCCATCACAAATTGTTTATAAAACATTCGCTCTGTGTATGGACAAAACAACACAGAGTCTTCAGTGAAAAACATTAACAGTTCTACAGTTTCTTTGTTTTTCTTATGTTTACCCCCTTCCCCTATTATCGGTTCTCTGAATCAAGCCTAAAGCAACTATCTTGATGAAACAAAATACAGTACCAACCTTTGTCGTGGTTTCCCATGTCGAGTTTCTCATATCCGTCATGCTCATCAAGGCTTGCGTGGGCTTGAAACAGTAATTGAATTGGATCATGAACATGATGCTTATATATTTATTATGTATGTTATAAATCTCTAATGCTGTAGTTTATGTGGGTGTCTAACGGAGATAAACAGGATGTATTACCAATTTAAGGCTTGAAATAGCAGTTGAAATAATGAATAAAATATTACTTTACAATAAAGTGGTATGCCATCTGCATGCCTATACAACGTGTTTAATGTTATATTGTGGAAATAGTTACCTTGGTTTGGTGTGGTGTCCCTAGAAGAAATCAAGACATGCAGTTACAATACAGCCTTTGCTCAATACAGGTGAGGTAAGGTGAGGTGAGGTGAGGTGAGGTGAGGTGAGGTGAAATTGGGGTTAACGTCGTGCTTGAGAATATTTCGCTCATATGACGACGTGCATGCGTGTGTATGTGTATGTGCGGCTGCTTGTACTAGCCCAGACTTAAGCTGGTTTTATAGTGCTAGCCCATTGAGATACCATGCCGCAGTGAAGCATGCATGCCCCACTCAGACACATTATACTGACTCCAAGACGACCTATCCTTGATGTACCCATTAATGCCGAGCGCCAGACAGGGATCAACAAGTACCATATTTTAACGTCTTTTGGTATGACGCGTTCGGGGATCGAACCCGCGACCTTCCGCTCTCCGGGTGGAAGCTCTAACCACTACACCACGGAGGCGGTCTTTGGCTCAATACACTTCACGATGACAACATGTTACTAAAATATCAATATCAAATATATAAATTTGATTTATTCACAGGAACATATATTATATTATTCGACACCGACTGGGGTTGGTGTTTTATAAAAACTGATTACTTTCCTTCAACCTGTATTGTATCTTACCCGTGTGGCTGGTTTTCGATTGTTTCTGTTTGATCTGCAAGTAGAGCATGGCGTTCCGACATTAATCCCTGTATTCTTGAATGTTTGTGTGAACCATTCACATGAAACTGTCAGTTTTAAGAAACCGTAGTGTATTCAATAGTCGCTTGGTACTTAGGGATATGATCAAAAGTTCAAAACTTACAGCATTTAAGTCATGCAGTATTAGTATTAAGCCGGAAGATCTGAGAGATAAAACCTGTCAAAACATGTCACAGTCGATTATATATTCTGCACATGCGCATCAACAGATAAAAAGGTATTTTGCAAAATGAACAAAGAATAGAGTTAACATAGTCCTGCCATGCATTGTCAATGTATTATGCAGAGCTTACAACCAGTCATTTATTTAATGACTACATTTAATGGCTTCACATAACTTGTTGAAGCATCTGTGAAACATGTCTCCCTTTGCTCAACACAAACTTGGCTATACAATGATTACCTTTGTTAACTTTGTCAATGTTTCCACGGCTTCGTCGCCACATGATTACAATGATGACAGTTAACACAAGTATCACTGGCAGGGATACTCCGATTCCAATACCAATTCCTTGACCGAGTCCATCTGGCTGTGACTGACCAGCAGCACTGCCTGGAACAATACGATCACAAGGACAGACGGAGTTTCAATAACAAATAAAGTATGATTCAAATAGGTTGTAGCCGGGGAATGATACGCTGTGCAACACGTTTCTTGGTTGAGTGTGTATGTTAATTCTTACACGGAACCGTAGGGTAGTCTAGTGGCTAAAACATTCGCTTACCCTGATGAAGATCCGGCGTGGATTCCCATATATGAACATGAGTGAACCACATTTCTTTCCCATGCCGTTATATAGTTAGTACTTTGTTTCAAATAGCGTAAAACCGTAGCCACTCAGTCACTCACTTACTCACTCACCCCAAACACGCAGTGTGCATATCCATGTTTTAATTTTCCTGCTAACTCCTCCCTCGTAACAAAAAGTGAACTGTGTCAATATTTTAATGATAGTTTATTAAACAACTTTTTTTATTTTCAGGACCTAAATTCTACAAATACCTCACAGAGTTGGTCTGACGTTTTGATTAAGATCAGCGTTTCATTGAGTATTTTATGTTTCTTAGTTTTCGAGTTTGATTGCAATTTATCGGTCCACGTTTGAGGCAAACGGACTGGACCTGTTCGTTATTTAGCCGAAATTGTATCAAGAAGAATTTATTTGGGAGAAATTTCTTATGGGTACAGAAAGGGTTTGTCCCGTTGATTTCTGATCTCACACTTGTTTATACATTTACAATTACATTAATATACATTTATGTAGCGCTAATATCAAATCTTAAGAAGACTGCTCAAGACTGCTGCTGAACTCCGTATGCAATGCTGAACAAATGAGTTTTTAATCTGGATTTGAATGTGCTGAACGTCTCTACTGATCGAAGAGAGAGGGGTAATTTGTTATTCAAAGCTGGGCCGACAAACGGAAAAGACCTTTCACCAAATGTCTTGGTCTATACAAAAGGCGTTCTGTAATATTATGCTGGCGATCACTGACATGAATGTGTTTAGAATGAATATAAATATTTTGAATTGAAACGTTTACATTGTCGTCCTGGTCTGTAACTGTTGACGACAGACGCTGCAACGAAGCTTTTACTCACACTGTACATAGATGTTGACCTGGGCTGTGTCCGACAGTCCTGCAGTGTTGGTGGCAGTACAGGTGTACACCCCTCCCTGGTTCCTGGTGACAAGTCTGTCTAGTACAGCTCCGTTCTTGCTGTACCCTCCCGGACCTGTCCACCTGTAGCGTGTTGTTGAGGGTTTGCCGGGTGTGATGTTACTGCTGCAGTCTATGTCAGGACTTGCGTTCTCTATTACTTGTCTGTGTGTGGGAACAGAGGTAATGCCTGGGCCGTCTAGTTTGGCTTATAAACAGAGAAATATGGTGCATGGGGATTATTCCGTAGTAGTTAACATATCTACAAAAGGATCTATAGCAGCAGAGCCACTGGTCTTCAGAGGAGCAACTTAGTTTTTGTAGCAATTTTGAAATATCCGTAATGCATTGGCAGTATTTTCTGCCGAAAGGTGTCTGTTAAACATCTTTCATTAGAATTGTTTATACGAGGCATACAACACGTTACGATCTAGGTTAACTATTAATTATACAAATCATGCTTTGTAAACATTCATGTAGTAACCATAGAAACCTGTGTTTTGCTCCAACTTTGAAATACCTACACAGAACTTCCAGACTGATGGAGTTGCTGATAGAGTTGATGTTGATGTTGCTAGCGCTGTACTGACACCTCCAGGTACCACCATCATCTGTAGTAACTGATGCAATATTCATGTAGAATACCCGCGTCTGTCCACTCACACACCCACAGGTGTACCCAGGTAGACTGTTCAACTGGCCGCAGGTACCAGCATTGACAACACACGAAATAAATGTCCCCACTCTTTGGAAAGTCAGAGTTCCCAGCAAAGAGCCGCCACCAGTGACGGTACAGGTAAACTGAAATGTGTCATCCCTTACAGCAGCGGAGGGCAAACTTTGTAGACTCAGTGTCTGACCTGGAATTGCAAAGATAGACCTATAAACTGCCCTATACCATGGTGCGTGATCCTTCAGAGTAGAAATCGTTGTAATAGGAATCGAAACTAGGAGACATACCGTTGACGTGGGCTATCCTTAATTCCGAATACATCTCCATGGCGAGGAGAAGGGAAATCATATATGGTGCCATCATATCAGCAAAGTTAAGCGGCTGCATAGATCGCACACGTATAAAGTGATTTAAGTTTTCGCAACGCTGTTGACGGAGACACACTTGCAAGGGCAAGGAAGTAGTTGTGTTATCTAGGTCAGATCTACCCGGTTCAGTGGATCGGGTGTGTACAGCGCATTCACACAGTTGTGTAGATGGCATTCGATATGACCAGGGGCTCCTTTCACGAAGCAACCTTTACTAAGGTGAACCTTAACTCCCATTCTTTAACATTGCACTAATGTTAACCTTAATGCAATGTTACAGAATGGGAGTTAAGATTGACCTTAGTAAAGGTTGCTTCGTGAAAGGAGCCCCAGTTTAACACGCCATCGGTAAACTTTGTCCTGCAAGCGATCTAGTGAGTGAGTGAGTTTAGTTTTACGCCGCACTCAGCAACAAGAAAACAAGTTACGGAAATAGCGTGTAGTTTATGTCGTTTGAATTCCTGTTTTATTTCAACTGTTAAGTTAATATATTGTTATAAGAGGGATTTGCGATGTAGACGTAGGCTGCAAGAGTTACTTTTGCGTTTTGATATGGAACTTTGGACATTATACAAGAATGTTAAAAGTTATATTGGTAACGCAACGAGAAGTGTTGTTCATAAATTAAAAGCAATTGAGAACAATAAAAGCATGTCTATTATCATAAGAAGTAATATGTCTGATAAGCATATGTTTATGAATCACGGTAATAATGAAGAGCAGGAGCGTGTATCCTGCTCCATTGGTTATATTGTCACAAACACATGCAAAGGCAAGTCATTTAGTCAAGTTTAATATCCACACGAACATGGTACACATTAAGATGAGGAATTGAATCTGGCAACGTTTTGTCACTGATGCGTTACAATTGGACCTATTTTCCACACGTGAAGCATATATCTTTTTCAAAACTATACTGAAGCATTATATGTCATCGGTCCACACACCCGCTTCGCAACACAAGCTTCATTGAGTGTTAGTCTACAAATATCATGAGTGAGTGAGTTCAGTTTTACGCTGCACTCAGCAATATTCCAGCTATATGGCGGCGGTCTGTAAATAATCGAGTCTGGACCAAACAATTTAGTGATCAACAGCGTGATATTCGATCTGCGCAATTGGGAACCGATGACATGTGTCAACCATGTGTCAATCGGGTGCGAGCCTGACCACCCGATCCCGTTAGTCGCATCTTACGACAAGCATGGGTTACTGAAGGTACATTCTAACCCGGACCTTCACGGGTGTTTAGATAATTGACTTGAGAGGAGTGCCTCGATTCACTAAGCAGGGTACCCGGTAGCATGAGATGGTGACCCTCCAGTGCCTCAATTTGGGCTTGGGTTGTATCTTTCGAGGTTGTGTAGAACATGAATTAGGGTGTGGATGTAGTGCATAATGTATATGCTTATTATCATTATTTATTTATGTGTATGTATTTATGGAACCATAGTGAGAATGTTGCACATTGTAAAGAGTGTCGTGGTGTCCTGGCACACGATGGATTTTTCAGTATGATGTTTGTTGATACAGCTGTAGAATACAAACTGGTATACAGCACGCACGCACACACACACGCACGCACACACACACACCAACACACACACACACGCACAGATCTTGGCAACTTTACACAACCTTACATACATGAGCGTAGTATTTATTTCAGTTTCACTGTTACGAGGTGATGTTTAAAGAGAAGTGAACCCAGAAATCGGTTCACTCAGGACTAAATTGTAAACTGACTGAATCACCATAGGGAACAATCACCATTGACCACCTAGTCTTAGGGCTACAGTTAGAAAGGCAGCACTTTTGATCCAATATAAGACAGCATGACCAAGTTAAAGGCCCATCATGTAATATAAGTTGACTTTCAAATGTTAAGAATATTGTCATTGTTGAATGCTGTGACATGAAAAAAGGGAACTAGTGGCTCTCGGCACGAGTGAGATCAAACAAGCCAATTGAACAAACACTTGCAGATTAAACTTTACGAGAAATAGTCTGAGCTTGTCAGTGATACAAGAACCAAGACTTAGTGGAGAAATCGGCTTTTTTGTCTCGTGCAAATAAATATTCAAATGTACTTTTGAGAGGGATGCATGATCTCGTGTAAGAGGACGCCTTCTGTATCTGTCGGTGATCAGAGCGAATCAGTCAAACATACTCAGTGTATCAGTTAAACACATGTTAGGAAAACACGTGCACTGAGAGATGATACATTAACATTAGGACTTATACCAGGGATATGCGAGCTGCAGAGGACGAGATTAAACTTCAGTAATTTGAAAGGTTACAGGAAAAGTAAAGGATAATAGAGAGGTATAACAATATTTCAGGCTTCGATTTCACGTTACTGATTTCTTGAATCTGCAATCTCTGGTGTAGAGATTCTCATTCTAATTTGAACAAACAAGGGTGCAACTTCTTTGACAATCTCAGATATGGCAAGGCATTGTAATTCGAAGGAATTTTATCTTTCAAAAAGAACTGCAGTCACTTGCCTGAGTGTGTCTTAGAACATGTCAAATATACCATGTTTTGCTATCAGTACACATGTGTAACAATGATCAGGAAGGCTTTACGCAGTACACCTGTGTAACAATGATCAGGAAGGCTTTACCCAGGATACCTGTGTAACAATGACCAGGAAGGCTTTACCCAGTATACCTGTGTAACAATGAACAGAAAGGCTTTCCCCAGTGCACATGTGTTACAATCAACTTGAAGGCTTTCCCAGTACACCTGTGTTACAATCAACTTGAAGGCTTTCCAAGTACTCATGTGTGGCAATGAACAGGAAGACTTTCCCCAGTACATATCTGTTGCCATGAACTGGAAGACTTTTCCCACTACATATCTGTTGCCATGTACTGGAAGACTTTCCCCACAACATATCTGTAGCAACGAACAGGAAGACTTTCCCCAGTACATATCTGTAGCAATGAACAGGAAGACTTTCCCCACTACATATCTGTTGCCATGAACAGGAAGACTTTCCCCAGTACATATCTGTTGCCATGAACTGGAAGACTTTCCCCACTACATATCTGTGGCAACGAACAGGAAGACTTTCCCCAGTACATATCTGTAGCAATGAACAGGAAGACTTTACCCTGTACATATCTGTTGCCATGAACAGGAAGACTTTCCCCACTACATATCTGTGGCAACGAACAGGAAGACTTTCCCCAGTACATATCTGTAGCAATGAACAGGAAGACTTTACCCAGTACATATCTGTAGCAATGAACAGGAAGACTGTCCCCAGTACATATCTGTAGCAATGAACAGGAAGACTGTCCCCAGTACATATCTGTAGCAATGAACAGGAAGACTTTACCCAGTACATATCTGTGGCAACGAACAGGAAGACTTTCCCCAGAACATATCTGTAACAACGAACAGCAAGACTTTCCCCACTACATATCTGTAGCAATGAACAGGAAGACTTTACCCTGTACATATCTGTAGCAATGAACAGGAAGACTTTACCCTGTACATATCTGTAGCAATGAACAGGAAGACTTTCCCCACTACATATCTGTGGCAACGAACTGGAAGACTTTACCCTGTACATATCTGTAGCAATGAACAGGAAGACTTTCCCCAGTACATATCTGTAGCAATGAACAGGAAGACTTAACCCTGTACATATCTGTAGCAATGAACAAGAAGACTTTCCCCACTACATATCTGTGGCAACGAACTGGAAGACTTTACCCTGTACATATCTGTAGCAATGAACAAGAAGACTGTCCCAAGTACATATCTGTAGCAATGAACAGGAAGACTTTCCCCACTACATATGTGTAGCAACGAACTGGAAGACTTTCCCCAGTACATATCTGTAGCAACGAACTGGAAGACTGTCCCCACTACATATCTGTAGCAATGAACAGGAAGACTTTACCCTGTACATATCTGTGGCAATGAACAGGAAGACTTTCCCCACTACATATCTGTAGCAACGAACTGGAAGACTTTCCCCAGTACATATCTGTGGCAACGAACTGGAAGACTTTACCCTGTACATATCTGTAGCAATGAACAGGAAGACTTTACCCTGTACATATCTGTGGCAACGAACAAGAAGACTGTCCCAAGTACATATCTGTCGCAATGAACAGGAAGACTTTACCCTGTACATATCTGTGGCAATGAACAGGAAGACTTTCCCCACTACATATCTGTAGCAACAAACTGGAAGACTTTCCCCACTACATATCTGTGGCAACGAACCGGAAGACTTTACCCTGTACATATCTGTGGCAATGAACAGGAAGACTTTACCCTGTACATATCTGTAGCAATGAACAGGAAGACTTTCCCGAATACATATCTGTGGCAACGAACTGGAAGACTTTACCCAGTACATATCTGTAGCAATGAACAAGAAGACTGTCCCAAGTACATATCTGTAGCAATGAACAGGAAGACTTTACCCTGTACATATCTGTAGCAATGAACAGGAAGACTTTCCCCACTACATATCTGTGGCAACGAACTGGAAGACTTTACCCTGTACATATCTGTGGCAACGAACTGGAAGACTTTCCCCACTACATATCTGTGGCAACGAACTGGAAGACTTTACCCTGTACATATCTGTAGCAATGAACAAAAAGACTGTCCCAAGTACATATCTGTGGCAACGAACTGGAAGACTTTACCCTGTACATATCTGTAGCAATGAACAGGAAGACTTTCCCCACTACATATCTGTGGCAACGAACAGGAAGACTTTACCCTGTACATATCTGTAGCAACGAACAGGAAGACTGTCCCCAGTACATATCTGTAGCAATGAACAGGAAGACTTTACCCTGTACATATCTGTAGCAATGAACAGGAAGACTGTCCCCAGTACATATCTGTAGCAATGAACAGGAAGACTTTCCCCACTACATATCTGTAGCAATGAACAGGAAGACTTTCCCCACTACATATCTGTGGCAACGAACTGGAAGACTGTACCCTGTACATATCTGTAGCAATGAACAGGAAGACTTTACCCTGTACATGTCTGTAGCAATGAACAGGAAGACTTTCCCCACTACATATCTGTGGCAACGAACAGGAAGACTTTACCCTGTACATATCTGTTGCAATGAACAGGAAGACTTTCCCCACTACATATCTGTGGCAACGAACTGGAAGACTTTACCCTGTACATATCTGTAGCAATGAACAGGAAGACTTTCCCCAGTACATATCTGTAGCAATGAACAGGAAGACTGTCCCCACTACATATCTGTGGCAACGAACTGGAAGACTTTCCCCACTACATATCTGTAGCAACGAACTGGAAGACTTTACCCTGTACATATCTGTAGCAACGAACTGGAAGACTTTACCCTGTACATATCTGTAGCAATGAACAGGAAGACTTTCCCCAGTACATATCTGTAGCAATGAACAGGAAGACTGTCCCCACTACATATCTGTGGCAACGAACTGGAAGACTTTCCCCACTACATATCTGTAGCAACGAACTGGAAGACTTTACCCAGTACATATCTGTAGCAATGAACAGGAAGACTGTCCCCAGTACATATCTGTAGCAATGAACAGGAAGACTTTACCCTGTACATATCTGTAGCAATGAACAGGAAGACTTTCCCCACTACATATCTGTGGCAACGAACTGGAAGACTTTCCCCACTACATATCTGTAGCAACGAACTGGAAGACTTTACCCTGTACATATCTGTTGCCATGAACTGGAAGACTTTCCCCACTACATATCTGTGGCAACGAACAGGAAGACTTTCCCCAGTACATATCTGTAGCAATGAACAGGAAGACTTTACCCTGTACATATCTGTTGCCATGAACAGGAAGACTTTACCCTGTACATATCTGTAGCAATGAACAGGAAGACTTTACCCTGTACATATCTGTAGCAATGAACAGGAAGACTTTCCCCACTACATATCTGTGGCAATGAACAGGAAGACTTTCCCCAGTACATATCTGTAGCAATGAACAGGAAGACTTTCCCCACTACATATCTGTGGCAATGAACAGGAAGACTTTCCCCACTACATATCTGTAGCAACGAACTGGAAGACTGTCCCCACTACATATCTGTAGCCATAAACAGGAAGACTTTCCCCAGTAAACACGTGTTACAATTCGCTGCGAAAGTGGAAGCTCCGAGTCCGTTGTAAGGTGGTTCGTCTCCCGAACACGTTAAAGATACACAAGAACCCATACTCGCTTTGCCTAAATCCATACATAAATAGATTTAGAAAAGGTTTAGAAAAAACAGCACGAATCAATTTGCGTAATTCGTATTGCAATGTAAGCCTCAATTTATAGTAGGATCAAAAGTTACTTCTGATAGTTTCTTGGAGTTCATTTTATGTATAACATGAAACATATAAGAGAGAACAACAAACATCTGAAAACGGTGATAGAGATGTATTATCTCATTTAATACCTGAAGAGTTATTACGTTTCGCGTTACTGAAAGTGTGACATTTTAGTGAAAAACAAGTTACGGAAATAGCGTGTAGTTTATGTCGTCTGAATTCTTGATTTATTTCCACTGTTAAGGGAATATATAGTTATAAGAGGGCATACGTGATTTGCGATGTAGACGTAAAGGCTACAAGAGATACTTTTGCATTTTGATATGGAACTTTTGGACATTATACATGAAGAATGTTAAAAGTTATATTGATAACGCAACGAGAAGTGTCGTTCATAATTAAAAGCAATTGAGAACAATAAAACCATTCCGTGTTAATACGAAATAATATCTGATAAGCATATGTTTTAGAATCACAGTAATAATGATGAACAGGAGCGTGTATCCTGCTCCGTTGGTAATATTGTCACAAACACATGCAAAGGCAAGTCATTTAGTTAAGTTTAATATACACACGAACATGGTAGACGTTAAGATGAGGAATTGAATATGACAACATTTCGTCACTTATGCGTTACAATTGGAACTATTCTCCACACGCGAAGCATATATCTTTTTTAAAACTATACCGAAGCATTCTATGTCATCAGTCCACACAACTCACTCTTAAAAATCATCAATGGTGACAATATTAAAAATACCCCAAACATTCTTCCTTAAATCAATAATAAATGGTGTTTGGATCATGAAGAAACCTTGCATCGTTAATACAAACATTGTGATTAATGACTATAGTCATCATTTACAACTCCTCAATGTATTTCATGTGCAGAGCCGTCTCAAAGTGTTTGGTTTAACAATCAACAATTTCGAGTAGAATACCTTCTTGGTCTAAATTTCAGCTATGCTGTAAAGATACCATTTAAAAACCAAAACATCGTGACAACACACACTTCACATTCATTTGTGGCAGGATATAACGCAAGGGTAATACTTATGATTGTAAGTGGCAGCTTATAGAAGCGGTGATAAATATAGCGCTCATAAAATGCTGGCCTGTGGTGATGTTACCGCTTCAGTTTGTACATTTGTATCATGCCTCTCCGTGTTTATTGACCAAGCTCTGTACTTGACATCTTCGTTACCTTACCTCATAGAATGTTCCTGTGTGAGAATCACGTATATATACTCATGCTAATAATGGTTGTCACCCCCTTCAATTTTATTAATAGGCTGGGGGGTGACAACCATTGTTGGCATGAGTATATGTTTGTTTGCAGCTTTGCACGTGCAGGTTCGACTATACGTTTGCGTAAGTCTTAAGACAGCTGGCTGCAGGTATGTAACTGCAAGACGCAGAGGATTTAAAGCTTCCGTCTGCCACCTTTCTTTGTCTTGCAATAAAAAATATAAAACTTGACTCCGAGAGCCTGTTTCAGTTATACAGTGTTCACCCAGTGTTTGCCTTTAACGCCTATGAAATGTCTTCTGTGGGAATATGGACACTGGACATTTAACTGCAAGAATAACAATAAAAACATAACATAAACCATTACTGGCTTCTCGTTATTGTCTTTTTGCATAACATCGTTCTTGGAATATACAATTACTAAATGAGTATTTACAGACACGCCAACAACGAAAGGTTGTTTTATCAATGGAGACAGAGCATGGTTATACAATAGTACATTACAGAACATCGTCAAGGCTGATTTCGGATACCTTTCCCACAATAAGAACTCATAATGTACTGTAATTGAAAAAAGTTATAAAGATTAAACCATGTTGCCTTGCATCGAGCTCGAATGATCAGAAGTGCACCTCCCTAATCACCTAAGTCACTAAATCGAACGAAAGACATCATTACCGGAGTCGAGGTGAGCCTCTCTTGACAATCTAATCCAAACCCTTTACTGATCCTTACAAACACATGTACTTTGGAGAAATAAGTTAGGTTAGGTTAGGTTGACCTAGACTGTCTGACAGTCTCGCTGCAGGTGTTGATCCTTCCCCAATACCCGATGACAACTCTTGTCCGTCAGGCCATATCCTACTGTCTCCTCGTGGACCTGATTTAAAGAGAGTCATGTTATTGCTGCCGTCTGTTACAAGAATGGAGTCTTGTGTTATGTTTTTATTGGCTGGAAAAAGGACGTTTTAGAACCTCTTGATGAGGAGGAAAGAGTGAGATGTTTTCCCACTTGCTATATATTCAGAAGGTAGAAACACCAAAGACATTCCATGAGGTGTTAAAGGCTAAATAGTGATAAAAGTAGAAAATAATTAATGTTCACAAGCAAATAAAATTTACAGCAATTATAAGGGGCAAGTCACTGATATCATTCTGAAGACAGTGTAAGACGTTCACAGAATATATCATGTATCAATAAAAAACGAAGATTATGATAAACAGTGAATCCCCGTCAACCTTGTTAGTACCGGTTCCACTTCTATTGCCGAGTGTACAACTGTCCTGATGACAGGGTTAAACAACTAATGTCCAGACGCAGTTGTCATCATTAATCTCACACGTGGATCGTTGCATGGAAGTTGACAGTCACACTCCGATTGTTTCCGCTGAAAATTCGAACTTGCAAGTCACATCCCGATTGTTGCAACTGTTGTTTGGAAGACACTACTCATTTCCTGATGATTGTTACAACTGTGTTTTGGAACGTGGTAGTCATTTCCTCATTGCTGAAACTGTTGTTTAGAATTTGGGAGTCATTCTCGATCCACTGTGTTTCTTCCATTTACAGAATCTGAAAGATGTTAACAGAAATATACATGCCTCAGCGTGGCCATTTGTAGGGTGGGTTGGTATCTCTTCCATGGCCCAGCGGATAGAGCGTCTACAAGGCAGGTCTGGGTTCGAACCCCAACCGTGTCATACTGACAGATTTCGAAAGATGGCGCTGAATTTGAATTAAAAAATAAATCGGTGGCGCCCCTTTTTCACCCCGACTCTCCAAAATCAAACACTAATGCACACACACAAACACACACTGTCTATTTCACCTGAGCCGTCAGTATGGGATGACATGCAGTATAAAATCGAGTATCATTTCTCCTAGGGTGATGTGCCACGTTGTCATTTCTTATGTAATAATAATAGCATTACTCATAATCAGTTACAGTAAATGACAAGTCACTTTTGAAATGACCAAAACGAAAGAAATCTTTAATGCATAATGTACGTGCATAATAAACATTACCTAGGGTATCTCTACCAGCCCCTTGGTTTTCGTACACAGATTCCTTTTCAACCGTGCCAACCGTCTCTTCTGATTCTAATACAAAAATAGTCAATAACAAAATGGTTAACATTCGAAACTTTGCCAATCATTTTGATTATGAGATGCAAGCATTGGCTTGGCGATATGTAACTTTAGTTCAATTCAACCACAAAATGTGTATAAAATATTCGCTCTGTGTATGGACAAAACAACACAGAGTCTCCAGTGAAGACAAAACAACCTTTAAGACGGCTTGAATTGTTAGATTGTATGGTCCTGGTTCTATATTGTCTGTGTTTTTACTATGCTTACCCTTTCCGCTACTAATGGATATTTGAATCAAGCCTAAAGCACTACCTTGATTAAACAAAATATAGTAACAACCTTTGTCGGTGTTTCCCATGTCGAGTTTCTCATATTCGTTTATATTCTGAGGGGTATGCTCATCAAGGCTTGCGTAGGCTCCGTCTTGAAACAGTAATGGAATTGGATCATGACATGATACTTATATTTATTATGTATGTTATAAATACAAAATAATAGCATTACCATTCAGAGTAACATTAAATAATAAACTACTGATCACTAAGGCTGTAGTTTATGTGGGTGTCTAATGAAGATAAACAGGATGTGTTACCAATTTAAGGCCTGAAATAGTAGTTGCAATAATGAGTACAATATTACTTTACCGTAACGACGTATGTCATCTGTAGATTGGTGTAACGAGGGACTCCCTAACATAACGTGTTTAATGTTATATAAAGGACAATGATATAGTTACCTGGGTTTGGTGTGGTGTTCCTGGAAGAAACCAAGACAGCATTTGATCAATACACTTCACGATGACAACATGTTACCAAAATATCAATATCAAATATATACATTTGATTCATTTACTGGAACATGTATTAATTGAGACCGATTGGTGTTGGCGTTTTATAAAAAGTGAAACATGTATTGTATCTTACCCGTGTGATTGGAGTTCGATTGCTTCTGTTTGATCTGCAAGTGGAGCATGAAGTTCAGACATTAATCCATATTCCTGAATGTTTGTATGTACCATTACATGGAACGGTCTGTTTTTCGAAACCATAGTGTATTCAATAGCCGTTTAATACTTAGGGATATGGTCAAAAGTTCAAAACTTACAAAACATGCCAATATTTAAGTCAGGTAGTATAAGTATAAAGCCGGAAGATCTGATATAACACCTGTCTAAATACATCACAATGGATTATATTTTCTGCACATGCGCATCTGTGAAACATGTCTCCCTTTGCTCAACACAAACTTGGCTATACAATGATTACCTTTGTTAACTTTGTCAATGTTTCCACGGCTTCGTCGCCACATGATTACAATGATGACAGTTAACACAAGTACCACTGGCAGGGATACTCCGATTCCAATACCAATTCCTTGACCGAGTCCATCTGGCTGTGACTGACCAGTAGCACTGCCTGGAACAATACGGTCACATGGACACACAGAGTTAAAAAACGAATATTAATTTTCCTGCTAATGAAAGAGGAATAAAAGGAAGTAGTGCTTCATGAAACTCACTTGCTGGTGATACTGTATAGCTGAGTATGCTTTCTCCAAAGGAGTTGTTCATCTTCAATGCGTATGCCCCGTAGTCTCTGGGGTGTTTGATCCTGACAATGAGGACTGTCTGTAAGTCGGAGCTGAATACAATGTAGTCAGTAGTGTCTGCTATATCCTGCAGGTGCCCGCTGTCATATCGCCACCAGGTGAACTGTGGCAGCGGGTCAGAAACAGCAGTGGCCACCATGGCGGCCGTGTCGTTCATTTGTCGAATGATCGTTGGACTAAATTGTTTTTGCATATCTCGTTGTGGACGATCTGTAAAATATATTTTAAAAGTCTACAATATCAGCAAAATGCAGGAATGTTTTTGAACGTGAATATATTATCTGAAATAATTTCCCAGATGAATAATTCCTTGTGCCAGCATCAATTTGTGAAGGTGCCATCGGTTGGGCAGCATACACACACCATTTCGCGAACACCTGGTATTATCACTATTTGATATTTATTCATGCAAACATGTTCGTTATTTAGCCAAAATTATCTCAAGAATAATGTATTTTGGAGAAATTTCTTAGGGGTACAGAAAGGGTTTTGTCCCGTTTATTTCATGATCTCATACTCGTCTATACATTTACATTTATATACATTTATATAGCGCTAATATCCAATCTCAAGAAGACTGCTTAAGACCGCTGCTGAACTCCGTATGCAATGCTGAACAAATGAGTTATTAATCTGGATTTCAATGTGCAGTACGTCTCTACTGATCGAAGAGAGAGACTATACAGAACGTGTTCAGTGATATTATGCTGGCGATCACTGACATGAATGTGCTAGTGCCGTCTATTTACAACTGTTAGTTAATATCTACATGGAAATATAAATATACACAAATACAACTATCCTCAAACGTGTGTAGAACGTTTATAGGAAAATACTGTTCATTTTTCTTTTTTGACTGTGAACCGCATGCTGATGATATGGTCGGAATCGTATCGATAGCTTTGTCGCTGTATTTTACGTATTGTTACACTGATGAAAAGCGTTTTGCCGCTTCAGAGGGTTACACTGTACATTTGAATATAGATATCTTGAATTGAAACGTTTACATTGTCGTCCGGGTCAATAACTGGTGACAGCAGACGCTGCAACGTAGTTTTTACTCACACTGTACATTGACATTGACCTGGGCTGTGTCCGACAGTCCTGCAGTGTTGGTGGCTGAACAGGTGTACACTCCTCCCTGGTTCCTGGTGACAAGTCTGTCTAGTACAGCTCCGTCCTTGCTGTACCCTCCCGGACCTGTCCACCTGTAGCGTGTTGTGGAGGGGTTGCCGGGTGTGATGTTACTGCTGCAGTCTATACCAGGACTGGCATTCTCCGTCACATTCATGCTGGTAGGGACGGAGGTTATTTCTGGGGCATCTGTGTCGCGATGGAGATGAACAAATTGATCTGCTTTTAACACCCAAGAATATCATTGTCTGCTGATACAGATTCCATTCGGCGTAAAAAGCCAGAATTGCGGTGGCAATTATACAACGTATAGATACAAATAAGTGAGAGGCTAGGTGTTTGTGAAAGGGTAAACATGTCCTGCTTCTCACATAATTTGCCTAAATGTATGTTTGGTTTTTGACAACAATCATCGGTTTGAAAACAATAAAGTCTTGATCAGTTACTCAGGTGATCGGTCAAACTGTTCAGTGACACAATGTCGCTGGATATGTATTGATGTGATTGGAACTAAAACACAATACGTTGTGAATTATGTCCTCTGTGCCAAAAGGAGACATTCCGGTCATTAACAGTAAAGAGAAACGTTTCAGAAGTATGTCCAATTTGTCTCAGGTCAAATATTTCTGTTGCAGTAGCTATAGCTCAGAATAACTGATAAATATCGTGAGCTATTGATGAAAATCTGGGACTTAAGTCACAAACATCGATCCAGTTCAGGTTAAAATCTAATGTCAAAGCCAGCAAATAAACAGATTCTGATCTTTTGAAAATGAAAACTTAGGAGGAAAAAGATGCCATTAAGACGCAACTAAGCCTTGCACTGATTAGCAGACGAAGTCCAAATTATGTGCTTAAAACACTACTCTGTTGGTCTCCCCAGACTTTAGCCATTGTCCATTGTCAGTGAAGACGGTACTCAACATATGTTGAAGATGGCATTATAATTAATTTAGATAATGAAGAGCAGATGCAACACTTACACTGTACATTGACGTTGACCTGAGCTGTGTCCGACAGTCCTGCAGTGTTGGTGGCAGTACAGGTGTACACCCTCCCTGGTTCCTGGTGACAAGTCTGTCTAGTACAGCTCCGTCCTTGCTGTACCCTCCCGGACCTGTCCACCTGTAGCGTGTTGTGGAGGGGTTGCCAGGTGTGATGTTACTGCTGCAGTCTATACCAGGACTGGCTATCTCTGTCACGTTCATGTTGGTAGGGACGGAGGTTATTGTTGAAGCGTCTGGTGGTAACATATTTCGCACAGTTAAGATATAAAACGACAACGGCAGTAGGAACCACCTCAGTAGGGCACAAAAGGCAGTGAAGCACAAAACGCAAACAGAGAATGGAATAGTGATAAACAGTGACAACACCGGGTGTTCAAGAAAGGGCAAGCATGTCTCATCCCACCGGCCCTAGCCCATTTCGAATACATGGTAGGAATTCACTGATAGGAATTCTAATAATTACATATAGTAAATATTGATAAAACGTTCAGCTATATATTGAATTGAATTGAGGATGTAATATGATTCTATGTAGCAGATGGATATAGTTGAATCATACATATATGATAAAATCGAACACTACTTGTTATCAGATGAATACAAGGAATTTTGAATAACCAAAATCTGATAAAGTTGTGGGTGAATACAACACCAGATGATGGAGGTAAGTGGGAGAGTTATTGTTTTCCCTGCTTTTTGCAGTATTTCAGTTTGTTTGTTTGTTTTTCAACGCCGCACTCAACGTTATTCCAGCTATATCCCGGCGGTTGGTAAATAAGCAGACCAGACAATCCAGTGATGAACAGCATGAGCATCGATGTACGCAATTGGGATGCGGTGACATGTGTCAACCACGTCAGCGAGCCTGACCACCCGATCCTGTTTCACGGGTGTAGTATTTCAGAATGATACAAGGTGTGACGGTAGGGGTGGCGTGTCGTGTCACAATACCTCAGCCTCAGGAGCTATGTCGCATGTACCAGATGAAACTGAACACAGATATGCCCAATACATATTTAGCTATAGATAATTAGATAGACAGAAAAAGGCCGCCCATTCGATCTGCTAACTATTATGAGGACAAAGTATGATGACGTTTTCTAAATGCATATTCGTTAGGTTCAGTTCGCGAGTTAGGTTTAAGTTTGGAATATTTCCAGTTCCGTCACAGCACTTGATCTGGGAGGAAAGACTGAGGACCACAAGTAAAGTGGTGACACCAATAATCAGAGAGTACCTGATTATCTGGGATCTAAACACACGATCAGCCCATCATCTCACAAGTAGGGGACACAACTCTGCATAGTGACATCCGGCTCTTTGGACCACAATGCATCTCGTTTGGCCAGGTCGTGTCAGCGAGACTGCAGAATACTTACACTGAACAGTGACGTTGACCTCAGCTGTGTCCGACAGTCCCGCAGTGTTGGTGGCCGTACAGGTGTACAGACCTCCCTGGTTCCTGTTGATAAGTCTGTCTAGTACAGCTCCGTCTTTGCTGTACCCTCCTGGACCTGTCCATGTGTAACTAATCGTCGTTGAGGGGTTGCCGGCTGTGATGTTACTGCTGCAGTCTATGTCAGGACTGGCGTTCTCTATTATTTGTCTGTTTGTGGGAACAGCGGTAATGCCTGGGCCGTCTAGTATATTTATAAACAGAGAAATATGGTGCATTGGGATTATATGGTGGTATTATTCCGTAGTAGTTAACATATGCACAAAAGTACCTATAATGACGGAGCCACTGGTCCCCTGAGGAGCAACTTTGTGTTCAGCAGTTGTGAAATTTCCGTAATGCAATCACAATTCTGTCTGTTAAAGATATTTCGTTATGATTATTTTATACGAGATATACAACATCGATCAGAAGTTAACTATTAATTACACAAATCTTGCTTTGTAAACATTCTTGTGGTTACTACAGACACCTGTGTGTTGTTACCAACTCTGAAATACCTACACAGTACATCCAGACTGATGGAGTTGCTGTTGCTAGAGCTGTACTGACACCTCCAGGTATCGCCATCACCCGTGCTGACTGATGTGACATTCATGTAGAATATCCGCGTCTGTCCACCCACACACTCACAGGTGTACCCAGGTTCATTGGTGAACTGGCTGCAGGTTCCAGCATTGACAGTACACGAACTGAATACCCGCGCTCTTAGGAAGTACAAAGCTCCTTGTAAGGAGCCACCGCCACCGGCAACAGTACAGGTAAACTGAAACGTATCTCCCCTTACAGCAGTGGAGGACGAACCTTGCAGACTTAGTGTCTGACCTGAAATGACATAGAGGATATTATATGAGTGCCCACGTCATACTATGTTTACGACTCGAGTGCCTAAATGTTGGTATCGTTGACCATAGGAAGGTCAAGAGTTTCGTATAATTCGTATGTTATGAGACCGGGTGTGGTATTCTATTTATTACCCACGTTTTACATGCATTAAATTGACAAAACAGCGTATTTTAGGTATTGTAATGGTTTCAAACCGAAACCGGTTTCATACAGAGGTTGCGGAAGAATTTTGTTCTGTAGTTCACTTTTGCATGACGTCACATTGCATTGACCATTGACGTCACTACGCCATTCTCGTCTGCTCCCTTGGTAACCGACGTCACGATGCATGTCAGTTGTCATCGCCTCGTACAGCCTCCTACATTAAACTACTCCGTAGCACCCCGTTTCTTGTTTTGCAGTTGCATCACTCGGCTAACATCACTGGTGGAAACATTGCGTTTATGTTTTTCGATATAATGTCTCAGTTCGACTCTCATTTAAACAGCGATAGGGCAACGTTCGCAATGTTTACGTTCCCACAATGCATTTAAGTTGTAGAATGAATGAATTCACGTGTTTGTTATGAATGAACAAGTAGTTCCGTCACAACGTGACCTAATTGAGAGGTCATCGGTTATCCAATCAAATCGTTAGAATATCAGGTCAAGTCGTTAGGACACAGGTCAACGCGATACGACACTCGTGTGTGACGTACGATATCAGTAACTACCCATACGTTGACCACGTGGGTAACAAATATTGGTATTTCCCGAGCGAGATGAGAGGATATAGGGGCATATACCATAGTATGATATGGGCACGAATATAATATTCTATTTATTACCGAAGTCGTCAAATTGAGGAAAATCAACCCAAATCTACTTTCAAACATAGGCTGACTACCCGCCGTCGCCGCATGTAAAACGTAACGTCATAGAAGAAACTGCTAGTCCTGACATAGACTGCGGCAGTAATCAATGGGTTCTCATGGTGACGTGACGTCATGAACAATGCTATGACTCCACGTGATATTTTGCCCTAGGGCATCGTATGAAAGATATGAACCCCGATATTCTCGCCCTCGTAGGCAATAAACACAGATATACACTGTTCAGGTCATGGCTCATCATTTCCGACAGTATTCACGGTACCTGGAACTGAAACTGAAAGACATACCTTTCACGTGAGTTATCCTTGATGTAGAGTAAATCTCCATGACCAGTAGGAGTGAAGTCACATATGGTCTCATGTTAACAGCAAACCTTAGCATCTATATATATGTGACATATATAACGTGTTAGAAATGGTGTTAGCAACGCTGTTGACTGAGACAGCTATATACTTCCCCCTGCAAGGACAAGGAAGTAGTTGTGTTATCTAGGTCAGACCTACCCGGTTCAGTGGATCGGGTGTGTACAGCGCATTCGCACAGTTGTGTAGATGGCATTCGATATCACCCGTTGAACACTTTATGCGGTAAACTTCGACCTGCAAGCGCTATAATGCATAAAGTGTACTATAGATATACATTAGAGTCATTCTCAAAATTCGTGCATATTTATTTTATATGTTTGCACCCGACAAACTTAAGTCAGAATCAATAATGTTTTATGATAACCAATTCATCTCAGTTTATTCTATACTATACAGAAACAAAATTGAAAGAAAATAGTTATATATTTATTTTAAACACCCAAAACCACCCACTTTTACTCCGTTTTCATGTGTCACAACTTCAGTCCAATTTGACTTTTGTTGTTGTCTTTTTCATGTTTTTCAAAAATCTTTTAACATAGCAAAATTAATGATGTTACAGCTACATGCTTGGCGTGGTTTGGCATTTCTAGTATGGAAAATCATTTGTGAAAAAAGGTCAAACTATGTCACAATATTTGATGTCACTACCGTAACATAGCCCCCCAAAATGCAATAAAATTACTCCCTGTACTGTCTTCTAATTCTACTTCACAAGCAAGCAATGGCAGTGAGGAAACATGGCTGTCAAACACTGACACAAAAAATTCATTTTTCTGAATTTTATCGCAAACAATGTGTGTACAAACTGACGTCTGAAAATTTTGCATGTCCTAACCGTTACGGTGGTTACCGCTGATACCGGTTAATTTTGTGAAGCAAAACAATGCCAAGTACCTTAGACAGTAGGGGAAATCATTTGAAAGCATGTGCTCAGTAAACTTTGGGGACCAGTTATTGTTTTAAAACTGATATTGTTAGTGGCTGTCACTACCGTTATGGTCACTGCCGTTATCAAGGGTATTGTTACGGTGAAGACAGATTTTGTGACGGCAGTGACATTTTTCTAGTTTAATGTTGCTTGTACCTAAATTTTCAATTCAAAGATATCAAATGTTTTAGAATCTTATTTAACATAAAGCTTTTGTATCACATGAATAAAATCAATAAGCATATAAGTATGATTTTGTTGTTACGGTAAGGACAGGGTAGTGTAACGGCTGTGACAAAGAAGAACACGGCTTAGATAGGGCCGTTACGGAAGTAACATTATATACCATCACAATGTCACTGCCGTAACATGCAGTCTTTACCTGATTTTTACATGACAGGGACATCTATAAGTAAATCTTTCGCCTATTACCTATTCTTTAAACATTCTGAAATATCTGACTGACAAATTTCATTAAATTATCTGTTAACGTAAACATAAAAATGACTATTAATACAAATGTCACTACCGTAACAATTAATGCCAGTGTCCATGCCATAACATTATCAGTTTCCTTATTTAAATAAAATTGATTTATCTGTGTATGTGTGGAATTTGTAGTGCCAGTATGTTTGGTAGTAGAGCTTCAAGTAAGCATAATATAATTCATATTCTCATCTTGAATTTTTGGCTACATATTATAGTCTGTTTGCAGTGAAAACGTACCGATGAATTTCACTTTGAACAAAAACGTAAATCAAATATAGTGAAATTAGAAGTGCGAATCCTCATGATGTTACCTTGCCAATTAAACATTAAAATCTCAGAATTTTATTCAACTTAGGGATTAAAGTTGTTTAACAAACGATCATAGTTTCAAATCGCTATTATCGGTTTGTATTACAAGGGGGGTATGCACATTAAATGAAACACCGAGAACAAGTAGGGTTGGTCTAAGTTAACGCTCATCACGTACGCGTACTGCACGTGCATTTGTATCACTGTTCCAATTACTGCGTTTATTCCCTTGTAATACAAACGAATAATAGATATTTGAATCTATGATCGTCTGTTAAACAACTTTTATACTAAGTTGAATAAAATTCTGAAATTTAAATGTTTAATTGGCAAGGTAAAATTATAAGGATTCGCAATCTTAATTTCACTTTATTTGATTTACTTTTTTTGTTTAAAGTGAAATTCATCGGTACGTTTTCACTGCAAACAAACTAACTTTGTATTTGCAAATCTGAAAAGAAAGGAATTGTTTGGCTTGTTGGCCCCTTTTAAGCAATAAATATATAATTTCAAAACTCATTAGTCATGTTATGTTGTAAAACTAGATATTTTGATATATATGTACATTAAAGGAATATCATCTTTGGATTCTTTTCTTTTCAAACTGACGTTGCAAATTTCGTAACGGTAGTGACGCAATTTCGTGAAATTTCTAATAAAAAGGGTAAATTATGACAAAAGAGATGTCGTTAAACTTGCATAATTTATGTTTTGTATATTCAGAATACTATGAATGTAATCAACAACATTTCAAGGTAAAACAAGAAAACAAAATTTACAATTTTTGCCCACATGAAATAAGCACAAATTTTGAGAATGACTCATTATTATACAATGCATGCAGACTATATATACACATATGTTGGTAGTTTGTATGTAGCGCCACCTGAAATTTAAGTAAAATGAATGGCGTTCAGATGTGGCTCAGACTTGGTGGCCCTGTGTACAGAGCACAGTGAAGCACATGTAACTTGAGAGAAATGGGCCTCGATTCACCAAGCAGGGTACCCGGTAGTATGAAGTGATCCTCCAGTGCATCACTTTGGGTTTAGGTTCTATCTATCACGGAAGTTAAGAGCCTGAATTAGGGTATGGATTTAGTGCATATATGCTAATTATCATTATGTAGTTATGTGTATTTATTTCTGGAACTATAGCGAGAAAGTTTCACATTGTAAACATTGTCGTGATGTCCTGGCACACGTTGTTTTTTCAGCATTATGTTTGTTGATACAGCTGTAGAATACAAACTGGTATACAACACGCACTCACTCACGCACGCACACAGACACACACAGACACACACAGACACACACGCACATATACACATATACATACACATTCTATAAGTAAAATTTAAGCAGTCAATAAATATAAGATAAAGAACGTAGCATGTTCTCAACGACGTCAAAAGACACCCATAAAGACAAGGGACTATGTTTTGTGTAACTCAGCTTGCCTTGCGGGAATTTGACGTGAAGAACGACACAAAATTTCGTGGTGTTTTTTAACAAGAAGGAACCAAAATTTTCCCCATAGGAATATTAAAATCTTGAATACTAAATCAACTTGTGTTTTGGTATTATCACAAATCAAAAGTAAAGGAATGGTGAAAGCGTACTACATGAAAATGGAAGTAATAGCACAATGGGAGTCTATATCTAGATTCTCGCATTCATCTGATTGTGTAAGTGCAACTTGACTAATGTTACCCCCTTAATATTGACAACTAGCCTGTAAACAACTTTGAATTAGAACAAAAATGTTAACTAATGTCTACTGGTTAATATGTACCTCACCTACCTTTTGTTCATAATATAAAACTACTCGCCAAGTAAAAGATAATCTGACGCTTTTTTTTCATGCAATATACAATGATTGTTTATATATGAGCCCAAGTGATAAATCGTATAAAGTTTTGTTGGGATATATGTCATGTCTATATTTCTTTATACAATTCTTATAGAAAAAAGTAGGCAGTTTAATATTCAGTGAACACAAAACTGAAAATAAGATGAAGTTAAACAAAACCAGGGGAGTAATGTGTAAATTTATTTACTTAGCTATACATTTTTATACTATTAGTTATTTACTTTCTTAATTTACCATGCCCTACACAATGCATATATATATGTAACATCGTAATAATAAAAGCTTGAAAACATCATTGGAACAGCCTAGGGAGGGAAATATCAATGCAAATACATTTATATCCCTGAGTTATTTTCATAAGTACATAAACCTGGGTATGTAATGCCAATCTATCCCTATTCTTTTTTACATTAACAGATTCAGACTTTAGAGATGAGAACTGTGAGGCTTTCGAGGAAGAATATAGATTCTAGGAACCAATGTCTGTCGAAGGAGGCAACCAATCTATTCTTAATAGCATCAAACCTCGACACATCATCTTCTACGTGGGAATACAGCACGTAACATGAAACAAAGAGTTGAAGTAAGATGTTTGGAACAGATACTGAAAACAATGAATATAAATGACAGAAAACCGTTTCAGAAATCAGTTATCTGAAATCTCTGCCAGTGTACGCTTCTGGCTGTATCAGAATTATATGTTCATGAAACAATTTCAAAAGCGATGATACCAGATATTCGCCAAAAGGTGAACGTATCTTCTCTGTGGAACCCATCAACAACACACTCAGTGGCACGCCAAATGTTTTATGAAAACAAATATGTGATCCGATGGCACAAGTCATTGGTGCGACAAGATTCAAAACGTTTTAGAAATGCCTGCAAAAAGCATTCTGAGAGCGTTTGAGCAAAATTAGTCTAAACACACGTTCATATATTTTTCTGAAAATATGGTCAGTTTATATATGTCGTTGCTCTTTTAGAATTGACTTGGTGTATCAGAGGGCATACAACAACAACACACAATGCCTTTCCATGTCACATTAAATAATTTTCATCGAAAGTATCACATCCTGTTCATATTGACATGAACATGAACTCGTATTTAAAAGGGAAGCGACAAGACCCTTTCCACATTCATTCAAAAGCAAAAGAAACTGTACTCGTAAACGTTCTTGATATTCAAACTGCCTTGCCTTTGGGTGTGTTTGTGACCTATCACCGATGGCACCATACCGCGTATTTAGCGCTGCATTGTCACTACGTGATACTTTACTCAAACACTGCTTTTGTATAAATTTCTAAAGTTTCTGCACCTGGGGTTTCTAATTCAGTCTCGATCATATCAACACAATGTAAATGTAATTTCACGTTACTTTCGCATTATAACTTTAAACGTTCTTCATGTGTAGATATCACAGTATTTTTAATCATGATGCAAACAAATCCTTATGAGCTTCAAGTACAAACAAGGATCATGTTTAACTCATGGCA